CCGCCCCGCCGGGATCCTCGCACAGCCGGCTGGAGGACCGGAGGCCCTGCCCGGGGCTGGCCCCACGCCCTCCCGCCCGCCCGCTGCCCCCTGAGGGCGGCTCGCGCAGTACGGCCGCCGCGACCCTCACCCCTGAACTCCGACTGGCTCCTCCGACTCGGGGGCAGCTTCAGGTCTCGGGGCACCGGAGGAGTGCTCATTGGAGACTGTGGGCTCGGGCCTCACACTGCGCACCGCGCGCACCGCGCCCCCCGGCGCCGGTTTATGACAGCGCGGGCGCCTCCTCCGCCCATTGGTGCCGGCGTAAATTGAATGGGCCAATGGGCGCCGAGGGGGCGGAGCGTGCGCCGCGGTTTCCGAGAGCGGGTTCACAGCCAGCCGATCCTGCAGGTTTCAAACTGCAACGGCGTTTTCCAGCCCGGGCGCGCAGCCTCAGAGGAGTCGGCGTACTCAAGCCTTACGAAACAGCGCAAGGAGGTGGGAGGTTGGACAAGTCCTTTGCCACTAGGAGAGGGAAAACAAGTATGGTTTGGCCGCGCCTCTTGCAAAAGGAGCAGTGAGCTGCGTACCGAAAGCACGTGTATTTCTTGAACTTCATAGCTCGGTTTCAGAGGTGACAGGCTCAGAAATAGTTTTCCCACGTTTGCCGAGATTGCAAAAGGGAACGGACATCAGACCCCATTTTCAATACTTGTATGCTGTACAGTTATCAGCTGCAAAAAAAGGGGGAGCTGGGAGAGGACAGGAGGAAGAGGCATAACCTGAGATGCGCCCTCCCTTTCTGAAAGTTGTATAAATAGCATTTACTTGAGACACTTTTAGTGTGCTGCTATAAATCTCAGTGCTCCTCCCCTAAAAATAGCAAGCCACACCGACACCCAACCCACAAGAGAAACCTAAATAATTCACAACCACAAGGTTTTAGGGTGAGAGTCGGAGTTAGGCAGAGGCCTGGCTGGCGTTTCTTCCTCTTGCTTGGTGAACGCTGTCCGGCTGGACTGGGCTCTGGCACAGCCCGGCTGGGGACGGAGGTGGGAGGCCTAGATTTCCCCCACAGCCCTCCCTGCCCAGCGCTGAGAAACCCGACGCTGCAGTCAGAGTTTGCCACTTTTTTCTTCAGATCTCTTAGGGTAACAGCTTGCACATGACAAATTTGGTATGGAGTTGTTTTTTGTTCTTTTTTTTTTCACTTAAATGTTAAATGTCTCATTTTAGAGATGGTGTGTTGGCTCAACTGGCTAGTCCTCCACCTCCAAGCACCGGCATCACATATGAGTTCGTGTCCCAGCTGCTCCACTTCCCATTCAGCTTCTTGTGACCTGGGAAAGCAGTGGAGGACAGCCCAAAGCCTTGGGATCCTATCCCCACATAGGAGACCCAGAAGGAGCTTGTGGCTCCTGGCTTTGGATTGGCTCAATTTTAGCTGTTGTGGCCATTTAAGGAATGAACCAGCAGATGGAAAATCTTTCTGTCTCTTCTTTCTGTAACTCTGCCTTATCAATAAAAATAATTTTTGAAGTCCATTTTTAGTATAATTTATACTTATGTTTAACTCTGGGAGAAAAAACAACCACATACTATCATCATCAGTCATTCTTATGATATTACCATTGGTTAAGTACTGCTGTCAGTATTTTTTAAATTTATTTTTATTTGAAAGGCAGAGTTATAGAAAACAGAGAGAGAGAGAGAGAGAGGTTTTCATCTACTGGTTTACTCCCCAGAAGGTTGCAATGGCTGGAGATAGGCTAGTTTAAAGCCAGGAGCTTCTTCCGAGTCACCCACATGGGTGTAGGGATCCAAGGATTTGAGCCATCCTCCACTGTTTTCCCAGGCCATAAGCAAGGAGCTGGATGAGAAGTGGAGCAGCCAGGATTTGAACTGGCAGCCATACGGGATGCTGGCATTGCAGGTAAAGGCTTCACCTACTACACCACGGAACCCACCCCAGAATTGTTAATTCTTAAGTTTTGTCAGACAGGTCACCATGGATTAATGGACAGGGAACATTTTTGTGATTAGAACAGTTAAAACAAGAGACTCAAGACCCTCTAACGCATGCTTGTGAAAGAAGCCGGACATGTGAGGTTACGCGGTAAATAAAATACCCAGAATAGATGATTTCACAGAAACACAAGGATTGATGCATTTTGGTAGTCAAAGGAGAGACTGCCTGCTTAATCGCTCAGGGATTTTTTTTTTCCTTTGGAGTGGTATGAGGATGCTTTGGAGCTAAGTACGTATACTGTTCACTTTAAAAAGCGTTAATTACATGTAATGTGAATCTCACTTCAATAATTTTAAGGGAGCATAATAAAAAAAATGATTTAGAAAACAGGGAGACCTCAACTAGCTGATGGGGGTGGAAAAGTCTGAAAAACAGATTTTCCAACATGAAAATTCTCTCCTAACCTCCATAGTTTTACAGTCCAAGAATAACATTTTTAAGTTAACATCATGTGACCCTTGTTAGGGACGGCAGGCAATTTTCTAAAAGACCCAAAAAGGCTTCCTTCCAGGAGAGATCTTCCTTGACATCGCTGCCCATGGAACTACAGGCCCCACTGGTCCGGGGAAGCAGGTGGGATGCTGGTGAGGGCACACTGAGGAGACTGTGGGGGGAAGGTGCGGATGCCCAAGTCCAGAAAAGAGAGAGGAGCTCAAACTACACCGTTGATCCTGGGGAGGTCAAGTAGGGCTGGAGTAAGAAGAAATCCCTGGGTATCAACAGTCTGGGGGTTCTAAAAACAAAATTCCATAGGGGAGCACAAAACATTATTGAAAGAAACCCTAAAAAAATACATAGCACACTCACGAATCAGAAGAGCCCATATTTCTACATTGTCCCTTTTCTCCAATCCCATTCCAATCAGCACCTTTGAGGGTCTCTCTGTAGAAGCTGACATCCAGATTCTAAACATAACTGGAAACACAAGGATTTAGAATAAGCCAAAGGGGGGGTGGAAAACGAGAACTAAGTTGGGGCTGGCATTGTAACATAAATGTTAAGCCTCTTAGGGGAGCCAGTTCAAGTCCCAGATGCTCCACCCCTGAATGTGCCTGGAAAGCAGAGACAGTCCAAGTGCTTGTGTGGGAGATAGGCAAGAAGTTCATACCGAGCAGCTTCAGACAGGCCTAGCTCCAGCTGTTGTGACCATTTGGGAAGTGAACCAGAGGATGGAAGATCCCTTTCTTTGTGTCCTTTTTTGAAGACTTATTTATTTTTATTGCAAAGTCTGATATAGATCGAGAGGAGGAGAGATAGAGAGGAAGATTTTCCATCCCATAATTCACTCCTCCTCAAGTGACCATAATGGCTGGAGCTGCACCAATCTGGAGCCAGGAGTCCAGATGCGTTGTCTGAACTTGGAGTGCATGTATTGGGACTGGGCCTCCTCAGTTGCTGATGCCTGTGCAGTGGACAGCATGTCCAGATGCACACAGGGGACATGGCCACCAACTCATCTAGGCCAGCAAAGGACACAGAGTGCCTTGTCAGAGGATGGAATGCAGAACAGGTTGGACAACTCTCCTGGCCAAGCTGTGCAGCATGTGTCTGGGTAGAGGATAAACTAAAGTGGGCTTTGTTAATCAATAGACCTTGGAAAAGATTTTCAACCCTGGATCAATGAAACCAACAACTTCTTAGAACTGTCAAAGCCACTCAAGTAACACCTGCAGAACACTCTTCCCCACATTGGGGTCTCAGGAGTCATCCAATGACCGTCTGCAAAACACAGGTGCTGATATAGTTAGATAGCAAGGAATGGCCCTCTCACCCTTCTTCCCTGTGGATCAGGAGGAAAAAAAAATTTAAAACATTTGTCCTACCCACCTCCCTCCATACCTGGCCCTCCCCACCCTAATTAGAGACCCACATGGGTGCTCATCTTCTCAGTTATGTAAACAATGTTAAGAAGGAAGAAAAAAACACTGGAACCAGAAAAAAAAATGTCATTTCTCCCAATGATTTTTTTTTTTGGCATCTCCTTAAATGTTACACTTGAGGGGAATAGCTCACTTCTCTCAGCCTAGGTCTCCTTTTGCCCAGTTTAGAAGCAATCTGCTGGCTTTCTTGTTGGCAGTGTCGGAGAAGAGTTAAAACACCCAGGAGGGTCACAGACACCTGGTAGGTGCTTAACAGATGGCTGGATTTTCAATTTGTTGATTGAATGAGTCTGCAGAAAACTGTCTTGACATGACTCAGCAGTTTCCGGTCTCCTGGAGAACAAAACAAAACACCTGTTGGTTCTTGCCTTGTGAGACCCTGATGGGGCCTATAGGTGGCACGACTTGCTGTGCTACAATGCTGTTCCTTGAGAATTCTCTCCACGTTTCTATGTGTCTGTGTGTCTCAAATAAAAATAAACAAAAAGCAAACTTTAAGGAAAGGCCTCGTCAGCAAATGAAAAAGACAACTGCCAGTGAGCAAAAATGAACAGAACGGGAACATCTAACAGAGCAAGGGCTACCTGGCACTCGGGTTAAATCTGTCTGCAGATTGTCTTCTCAGAGAATCCTGAATTGCAAATATGCATGTCAACGGTGGAGGGACACATGTGGCCAAGCTCATTTACGATTGTTGCCCAGTCAGTGGGCTCAGGTTATGCAGGCACAAGTCACAAATGGGCTTTGTACGCAGCAACCAATAGATTCCACGACTGGAGATCTATTTATTTATTGGTATTAACTCATGGTGCCTGTAGGGGCGCTGGAAATGTTCACATGCAAGTCATTCTTAGAAGGGAAAGAAAACGGAGCGCATGTGCTACTTAACATGCCGCAGCTGTATAAAAACAATGAGTGTTATCAACACTTATTTGAAGAAAAGACAATGTACAGCGTTTCATGAAGATGTGCAGTCTAGCCGGTGGCTGGGGCGGGGCTTCCCGCGCCGCCCTGCCCACCACGGCCGCCTGGGGGCGCTACTCGCCCGTCTTTCAGGGGCGCCGCGCCCTCGCCGCCGGCCGCCAGGGGGCGCCGCCGCACAGCCGGCTCGCGGCCCGGGGAGCGCCGGCGCGGACGGGCTGCGGAGCGAGCGGCGGCCATGGACCGCTTCGTGTGGACCAGCGGCCTCCTGGAGATGAACGAGACCCTGGTGATCCAGCAGCGCGGCGTGCGCATTTACGACGGCGAGGAGAAGGTAGGGCGGCCGCTGGCTCCGGGCTGCTCGGCGAGAGGCCGGCGCAGGGCAGCGGGCGCCCAGGGCCGCCGTGCCCGGGACGGCCCAACGCTGACCGCCGGCCTCCGGGGCCGTCCACCCCGGTCCCCGTCCCCGTCCCCCGGTCCCCGGCCCACCCCGATCCCCGTCCCCCGGCCCACCCCGGTCCCCGGCCGCGTCCCCTGGTCCTCGTCCCCCGTCCCCGTCCCCCGGTCCCCGGCCCTCCCCGATCCCCCGTCCCCCGGCCCGACCCCGGTCCCCGGCCGCGTCCCCCGGTCCCCGTCCCCCCTCCCCCGGCCACCCCGGTCCCCGTCCCCCGGTCCTCGGCCCCGTCCCCGTCCCCCGGTCCCCGTCCCCGTCCCCCGGTCCCCGGCCCCGGTCCTCGTCCCCCGTCCCCGTCCCCCGGTCCTCGTCCCCCGTCCCCGTCCCCCGGTCCCCGTCCCCGTCCCCCGGTCCTCGTCCCCCGTCCCCGTCCCCCGGTCCCCGTCCCCGTCCCCCGGTCCTCGTCCCCCGTCCCCGTCCCCGTCCCCCGGTCCCCGTCCCCTGGTTCCCGGCCCTAGTCCTCGTCCCCCGTCCCCGTCCCTCGTCCCCCGGTCCCCGTCCCCGTCCCCCGGTCCCCGTCCCCTGGTTCCCGGCCCTAGTCCTCGTCCCCCGTCCCCGTCCCTCGTCCCCCGGTCCCCGTCCCCGTCCCCCGGTCCCCGGCCCCGGTCCTCGTCCCCCGTCCCCGTCCCCCGGTCTCCGTCCCCCGGTCTCCGTCCCCGTCCCCCGTCCCCGTCCCCCGTCCCCGTCCCTCGTCCCCCGGTCCCCGGAAGAGCCGTGTCCGCAGGCTCGGGTTTTCAGTGTGTGCGTTCTCCGTGGACGGGGCTGGCGCCCGTGCTCGGTGCTGCAGTGAGGCCGTGCCCCCTCGCTCTCCGGAGAGAAGGAAGAGGAAGTGTAAGGAAGTGTTGGGTGAAACCTCGCCGTGGCCTGGCTTGCATGGAGTGGACCAACTGTTTTTGAACTGGTTTGGCCACATTCTTCGTTTCCGGCTGCTGTCACCGGCTCCCTGGGTTCCTGGCACTGACCTGTGTGCCCTGCTGGGCGCGCACAGCCATCCCGGGACCCCGGGCGTGTCTGTCCCCCCGTGTGGAGTCAGGCTGCTGTCCTCGGAGCCCTGGCTTGCCCCTGTTTCATTGACTGCTCCTGGCGCTTGGATTAGCCTGATCTCAAATTAGGCCTTGCATCTTTTGATTGCAGTGACAGGCTAAATTTCGTTTTTCCTTAAAGACTTAGTTTATCAACTGCAAAGGCAGAGTTTTAGAGACGGGGGGAGAGGCCGAGAGAGAGGTCTTCCATCCGCTGGTTCACTTTCCAAATGGCCGCAAAGACCAGGGCTGAGCCAGGCTGAGTCCAAGAGCCCTAAGTTTCCTCCCGTCTCCCGCATCAGTGCAGGTGCCCAAGCACTTGGGCTGTCTTGTGGTGTTCTTCCAGGCATGTTAGCAGTGAGCTGGATTGAAAGCAGAGCAGGTGGGTCTGGAACTAGTGCTCATAGGGGATTCCGGCTCTGCAGGGAGCGGCTTAGTGTGCTGTGCCACAACAGCTGGCTGATGTTATTTTTTTCCTTTCTCATCTAGTTTGCATCTTTAGCATATTTCACACAGGACACCTTGAGCACCCACGCCTTGTCCCCTGGTCCTGCCTCTGCCCCGGCTGTAAGGGTGAAGGGAGTGCTGACAGTGATGGACAGCTGTTCTGTCTCCTGCACCTTGTTCTTTTGTTCTTTGGAACACAAAAATCAACCCAGGAACATTTTCCTGGCAGGTGGTGTGGCCCTACTGTGTTTGCAGTGCCCTCAAATCACAGCCTGTGTGCGAAAGAAGCATGGGAGAGCCACTAGGTCCTTGTTTTGCCTTCAAAGTGTTCACTGCTTGCTTTAGCAGGCAAATATTGCAGGTGTCAGAAAAAAAATGATCAAGGGAAGGGCTTAGTTTGTGATGCTTGAGGCAGAAATTCTTAACTTCTGGAAGATGAGTGCGGTGTGGGAGAATGTAAACGCTTTCAAGTGGGAGTGCTGCCCACCGCTTTTTACAAAAATTTATTTATTTTCAACGAAAAGACAGATTTACAGAGAGAAGGAAAGACAGAAATATTTCATTGGTTGGGTCACTCCCCAAATGGCTGTAATGACTAGAGCTGATCTGAAGCCAGGAGCCTCTTCTGGGTGGGCCATTCTCTACTGCTTTCCCAGGCCATTAGCAGCAAGCTGGATGGGAACTGGAAGTGCCAGGATACAAACCGATGCACATAAGGGGTGCCAGCGCCGGACTGACGTGCTTGCCATTGCACCGACCCCCCAGGGATTGGAGCTCTTCAAGGGAGAGGCCGACACACTCGGCCACTTGCTGAGCTGTCCCTGGGGAGGGCGAGGGTCAGCCTGGTTCCCGGGGGAGTGCTGTGAAGCCGCAGGCCCTGGCAGCCTGTGCGTTGCTGTCCAGCTCTGCTCAAGCCAGCCTCCTGCACCGAGGGCCTTGCTGGCCACCTCGGCGTAGGGCCGGCTGTGGGGAACACGAAGCCTTCGTGGGCTTTGCGTCCCAGCGCTCTCCCTGACAGACAGCATGCCTTCTGGCTCACTGTGCGTGGAAAACCCGTTCTTTAAGAACTGAATGATTGAAGTAGCCGCCTTGACCAGATGCTTTATGTTTCTGATGTCATTCACTCCGCTCAGCAGGTATATGAGCTGAATATGTTGATGAGACAGCATGACTTAGCCTGAGAGTGGAGCAGGGGAGGTGGGACAGTTGTTCCTGGGGCTGTAACACATCAGCAGAGACCAGTCACCCCGCCAGATGCTTGACGAAACATTTAAAACAGCGACTTAGCCCAAAGATGTGGGGACTGGGACCGAGGGTCCACGGCTGAGGTCGCACAAGCAGATCCGGTGGCCTGGTCACGCTCAGGTGCCAATCAGTATGTGCCTGCTTGTCTATGCAGGCACAGCTTCCCTGGGCCAGTCGTGCCTGCATAATGTGTGGTATTCAGCAGTGTAGACAGGCCATTTGTTTCCATGCACAGCCACTTCTCTCGCCTCAGCTAATTATGAAACAATGCTAAGAAGATTAGTAATGCGTCAGGGGGCGAGTTGGCAGCCTCTGCCAGTAGATTCACAAAAGTGTTCGTTCCCTGTCAGCTGTTTCACTTTGCGGAATTTACCCTTGGGAAAGATTCAGGGATGTGTAACAATAACTACATTTAGATGTTCCTCTCAGCACTGGATCCAGTGGGTGACCATCGGACACAGGGAAGCCTGCTGTAGAGACGGGTTAATTACATTACCACACGCCCTAATTAGCATGGCGATTGCTAATGATAGATTGCTCAGTGAAAAAAGCTGTGAAGCTATAAATATCACGGTCTCATTGCTGAGGGGTGTACGTGCGTAAGGACACTTCTCTGTGTGTGTAAACTGCTGGGTTAGGAATGATTTTGTTTTTTATTTTATAACAAGAACTGTGAAAAAATTAAAAAAAAAAGGTGGCTTGTTCAGTGATTGCCTAAGTTTGGCAAATTTTTAAGTAGCTAAAGCTCATCCTAGTGGTAGAAAGAAGCCAGCCAGCTGTAGCTTGTCCATCAGGTCTACAGCAGAATGGCTGGAACCCTGCAGGGGGCCATTACACAATCTCCAGCCGTAGCAGCAGTGTGTTGCGTCTGCCCCAGTGTTCATCCACATGGCAATGGAAGGTACTGTGGTTTCAACGTGAAATTTACATCCTTGGGCTTGGATTTCACTAAGATAAAGCACAAGTTTCTTAATGAGAACCCTTATTCTCAGTACAGCGCCATGTACTCTCCAGTTAATAGCCTGTATGCCTTTGGAAAGGGAGAGTAAAAGATGACTTGTTTATTTGAGAGGCAGAGATAGGGAGCGACCTGCCAGCTGCTGGTTCCCCTCCCCAGTGTCTGCAGATGGCCGGTGAGGCCAGGGTGGGAGCAGGAGGGGCGGGTGGCAGGAACCCGGCCACTGGAGCCATGCTGCTGCCTGCGCAGGCTGTGTTCGCAGGAAGCTGGAGTGAGGACGCGGAGCTGGTAGAAAAGCAGCTTTGCTGTGAGGCTTGGGCATCAGAACTGCCAGGTTTGTAAATGCCCACCCCTAAAACATCTTAAATTCTGTTGCTTGATTTTGAAGAAAAAAATGATTTGAAATCAGACTGTGAACTGGGTGCAGGGAATGTCTGTGTTTTACATCTCATTTGGAGGAAAACATGGAAGCCCTGAGGGTTTTCTTTGATGCATTAAGTGTTGGGAGGGAATAATCTCTCAGTGAGTGTATTTAAGCTAAATGCGTCAGTAGCTCTCATCATTACAGTTCATTAGCCATATTATTGAATACATGTTAATATATAAGTAATAAACCTTATTCTGATAAAGAATTATGTCAAAAGTATATGGCTTATTTATTATTCAAGGACATTATTGACACATGTACTTATGTGTGTTTGAATTTTTGAAAAAGTTCTATTTTATTTATCTGAAAGGCAGAGTTACAAAGAGCGAGACCGAGAGGGGTCTAACACCTGCTGATTCACTCTCCAAGTAGCCACAACGGCCAAGGCTGGGCCAGACCGGAGCCAGGAGCTTCCTCAGGCCTCTGGTGAACAGCGGGCCGTCCGCCACTGCCCTCCCAGGAGCATAAGCAGGGAGCTGGATTGGAAGCAGAGTCGTCGGGACTTGACCTGACGCTTGGATGGGATGGGCGTTATATGCAGCAGCTTTGCCTGTTACGTGATATTGTTTACCCATGTGTTCATGTGCCCGATTTAACAAAAAATAATGTGTACGCATTTCAGATTTACAGAAGGTTGTGTGTGCCTGAGATGCATTTGTTTTATTAGAAAAATAATAAAATGGAAGACACTGGAATAATCAGTGATTGTGTTAAGCAGTTGCCTTTGGCACAGTGTGTGTGTGTGTGTGAGAGAGAATTTGCATAAGTTTGTATGTATTATTTGAAACATACTATTAACCTCAAGAATATTTTGTAATATGTTAAGCATAAACTGTGTATATAATTTGTGATTTTGTAAAGAATGACATAATGATGTTCAATTGGTAATTTAGTTGATGTATTTTAGCTCTATTTTTGTTTTATTTATTTGCTAGAAAGAGCAGGGGAAAGGAGAGGGGGAGAGAGAGAGAGAGAGAGCTTCCCAAATGCCCAGAGTTGTGGGGTTGGACTTGCGGGGTGAACCTAGAGCCAGGAGCTCAGCCCAGACCTTCCACGGGGGAGGTGGGAGCCCAGGTCCTTGTCATGCGTGGCCCCGGGGTCTGCAGCAGCAGGGAGCTGGAGTCAGGAGCTGGAGCTGGGTGGACGTCAATGCTGGGCGTGTCTTAGCTTGGGCTGCCTTAACAGCACTGTGGACTGGGTAGTTTGGACGCCAGTCGTTTATTTCCCACAGTTCCCTGGGCAAGATCAAGGTGCTGGCAGATTTGGGCCCTCAAGGTCGTCCCTTGGTGCTTGCAGGCAGCCCCGGGTCCAGTCTCGGGGCGTGCATGTGGAAAGAGCTCTGTGTCCCCTTCTCTTCACAGAAGGACCTGACACATGATGCACCCTGCCCATGTGCACTTTGCTGCACTGTGCTAGAAGCAAATCCAGTGTTTTTTTTTCCTACCTGGCAACTCATTTTTCTCAGTGCCATTGATCAGATCTCTGCCCGTGACCATTATTGTAGTTGTGTCTGTCTCTAAATGTTACTTGAAAATTAAAAGAACAACTGTAGAAAGAACAGTGAAGTATATGTAGTGTTACTTACTGCTTTTCTCCTATTCCTTCACACGTCTCAGTGTTAGTGTGGTGCTGGGTATGTCTTTCAGACTTTATTATTACTTACGTATAGATGTGTATACATGCATACATTACCTGCATGTTAAATTGTATGTAGTATACTACAGATTGTTTTTTGTCCTTGTTAGTTGTGTCTTAGAGGTCCGTAACTGCCACACAGTCTCGTCCTTCTTACCTAACGTTCTTCAGGGCGTGTGTTGGGCTGTAAACAGAACTTGACGTGAAGTTATTTCTGATGATCCAAGAGTCGCATGATGGAGCAGGACACTTTCTTGATCCATCAGTGGATTTTGTTGACAATCTGCAAGAGCAGACCACGTGCCTTCCTTTCTAAGCAGGTGCGGTGTGACTCCTGCTAGAAGGCTGTTTGACTCAAGCACTTAGAGCTGCATGCTTGTCAACCTGCCAGCTCTTAAATTTGGTATCTGAAAGCACCGTCCAGCCCGATTCCACATCTGCTTATCCCCTGCCATAGCAGCGGCCAGCCCTGGTTGGATGGCCTTCACGCCGCGTGCAGCCTACTAGGCAGGTTGTTCCCACATTGGTCGCGTTCCTATAGGATGCAGGGACCTCTCCCTTAACCAGTGTGAGTTGGAATACTGACGGTGATCCCCACACCTGCCAGTTTGTTGAAGACATCCTGGGAGTCTGCATTATGTTGACGTCTTGCTTGGATCACGGCTTGCTCCATGACAGATTATCCCAGAGGTCTCAGCATGCCATGCTGTGTGCCAACAAGGATGTAACTGCAGATTCTCATGGTGCCACTGTTTGTCAGGGAGCTGGCAGGCAGCAGTCACGTGGGGATGGGGAGCAGGGAACTCTGGGTGAACCCCTTCCTGTGTGCCCATAGTTCCTTACTGCCTACTACATGCAGTTATTCTCCTGTGGCTGTATTGTGAGGGCTAGCACAGATCTCTTATGCAAGTCCAAGTTGTCAAGGTTGTGTTGGTGACCTTGGCAAAGGCCTGATGAGTTGGCCAGGCCTGGTTCCCAGCTGCTGCCCTTCCAGCAGTCCTGACCTGTAGAAGTGACTCAAGCACTACCCAACTGATGGTCGTTGGCTATAACCTCATCTCTTTGTGACCTTTCCTACAGCTACCAGGGCGTTTGTGGCTATGTGCTGATCCATGCCTCTGCTGCCACCAGGGGTCATCACACACACTTGTTCCTTCTGGCTGATGCCCCTTTTCTTAGCAGCATACTTATTGAAAAAATCTCATCTGTAACCTGTGTTCTACAGGATGGTTGGGGTTCCCAGGAAACCTGAGAAAGGCTTCTTGTTTTGGTCCTTGTGCAAACAAAACTCTATTGGTGTCAGCTTGTGTTATCCTTCTCCACTCCTCCCAGTTGTCTTTGTATTGGCTCAGGCATAGCTATCTTGTAGGGACTGGTTCACATCCAGTGCCAAGACCTTCTCCATGTCTTTGACATTCATTGGAGTGTGTTCAGACACAGCTTGGGCAAGTGATTCCTCCACAGGGTAAATGTCACTTTCATTGAAATTGGCAGATGGCACAGCTCCTGTCAAATCCAGCAACCCCAGGGATACCACTGCTTCAGGCTCTTTTATCTCAAAGGGTGTGATACTCCCAATGGCAGGCCTGCAGCCTGAACGGACACAAGGATGTCCAGCAGATGGGTGAACAATGCAGGCAGGGTTGCCTCACTGCTGTTCTGTTGTACAGCTGGTAGGAAGCCCCCAACACCCTAACAGGCCTTCCTTCATTCTTCCAACATTAGCTTTCCAGGTTATCGTTCACATAGAAAATCCCTTCAGCTTACATATTTGGGCATGAAGTCCTTCCTGATTCTCCAGCAGTTTTTACTGGTGTTTTCCAAGAACTGGAGTTCATCATTTACAGATGTGACTGTTGACCCGGAAAAAGGTGGTGGAAGCTTCTGGCTCTGCCCATCCTTCCGTTAACCTTTGCGTGAATCTGCTACTTCATTAACTGCTCAGCTCTTGTTACACTTCTAGATTGTTTTTAGTTTTCCCTAAACCAGTTATAGCAGCATTTGTAGCTTAGACTTATGAAGTGTGTTGTTAGTTGTTTTTAATTTGTGATAAATGTACATATAAAATGTTTATGTGATTTAGTGTTGTACAATTTGTAGCATGGTAGATCTACAATACTGGATGAAATATTAATATTTTGTTATGATCTTTCTAGATAAAATTTGATGCTGGGACCCTCCTTCTTAGTACACATCGACTGATTTGGAGAGATCAGAAAAATCATGTAAGTGAGATTCAGTTTTCATTGTCTTGTCTGGGCTTTGAATCGTTGAAGTTTTTCCTTTTTCTATTTTGGCCTCCTCTTGGCAAGACTAGCAGTAGATGCCATATACCTGGCTATTCAGGATGCCAAGTGAGGGGCAGATGATTGGTCTAGCTGTAAGTGGGCCACTTGCAGTCCACATCAGAGTACTTGGGTTCAATTCCCAGCTCTGGCTGCTGATTCCAGTTCCCTGCTAATGGGCACTGTGGGAGAAGGCAGATGATGACCTGACCACTGAGCTCCTGCCACCTGCCCAGGACACCTGGGCTGAGTTCCTAGCTCCCTATTCCCCCTCTGGCTGTTATGGGTATTTGGGGAATGAACCAGTGAATGGCAATCTATCTGTCCCATTCTCTCTCTCTTTCCCTTAAGTCATGATTTTAAAAAACATTTTTTTCTTTTTTTCAAAGAATGTGTCCTGTGTGGACTCAGTGAAATACAAAGAGGAGGGAGGGTGTTGTCCCTCAGTCAGATCCAGAAAAGTCTGTAGTTACTGGCTTGAGAATTGTGCTTGGCCCCCTGTAAAATACTAATCAAACATTGCTTCATCACGCCCGAGCATCCTGCTTCCAGGCGAGGAATAATTCTCCTGTGAGAGGCAAAGAATCCTTCAGACAACCTGGCCCACCGTTACTGTCGAGGCTCAGAGTGGCAACTGCAGAAACACCCGCTTTGCCTCAACGCTGCGCTCTGCCTCGAGTCACCAAGGAAGAGAACCCCCTCCCTGCTCTCCATTTTTTTTTTTTAAAATTACCACAAAATAAGAGTGGGTTATGTGAAGAGAGTTGATATCCTTATTCTAAAAAGCTTTAACTTAAAAAGTATGATATAGTAATTTTTGTGTTGCTGGTAAAATGAAGTCTCTTTCATGTTTTTATTTTCCTAGTCACTTCTTCTCCCATGAAATTTTAATCCCACAGATAACTACATATTCTATTATGGCCTTTTGGAAGGCCACCAACCATTGCAGTGTTTGAGTTTTTTTGTTCTGAGAGCCAATTTTTGCCCCTTTTGGGATGATTACTGCTTATTTGATAATGTCTTAGATTACTAATGTTGGCTTACTCTCTGCCTCGTTTAACCATAGGGGTAGGTTCTGAGAAACGCATGGTTAGGCTGTGTTGTGCACACATGGGCTGCATACCCACAGCCGTGACTGGATAGCCTACTTCCCACCTGCTCCCAGGCTGTAAGTCTGTGCAGTATGTTATTCTACTGAATGCTGAGGGCAGTTGTAATGTAGTGGTATTTGTATATCTAAATATAATTACACACAGAAAAAGCACAGCGAAAATATGATATAAAAGATGAAAATTGGAATACAGGACACTTAACGTGCATGGAACTCATAGGACTGGACATTGCTTTGGTGAGTCAGTGAATGCTAAGGGACCTACGGCATAGGACATCAGTGTTCACACTGAGCATGTTGTACTGAATGGAGGCATTGTGACACTGCAGAGTAAGCCACCACGTGGAGTGCTCACATCCCACGTGAGAGCACTGGTTCGATTCTTGGTTCTTGCCCTTGGATCCAGCCGCCTGCTAATGCATCCTGGAGGCCAGTAGGTGGTAGCTCCAGTGCTACCCTTGCAGAAGATGAGGATAGAATTCTGCGCTTCTGACTGCAACCTGGCTCAGTCCTGGCTCAGTCCTGGCTCAGTCCTGGCTCAGTCCTGGCTGCCGCCTGCATCTGGGGAGTGAACCAGCAAATGGAAGATATGGCATCCTCCCTCTCTCTCTGTTGCTCTGCTTTATCAATGATATTTTTCTGTTTTAAATAGTTAACTTTTAATTTTTTTTAAAGATTTATTCATTTGTTTGAAAGGCCGAGTTATAGAGTGACAGCGAGATAAGAGAGGTCTGCCATCTGCTGGTTCACTCCCTAAATGGCCACAGTGGCTGTGACTGAGCCAGGTGAAGCAAGGAGCCAGGAGCTTCTTCTGGGTTTCCCACATAAGTGCAGGTGCCCAAGTACTTGGGCCTTTCTCTCCTGTTTCCCAGGCATACTAGCAGGGAGCGGAATTGGAAGTGGAGCAGGCAGGACTCTAACCAGCAGCCATATGGGGGTACTGGCACTGCACATATTGGCTTTGCCTGCTATGCTATTGTACTGGCCCCTTAAATTTAACTCTATGATTTAAAAAATATGTATCTGTATTTTGAAAAAAAGACATCTTCTATTCATTGGTTCGTAACAGCCAGAGGCAGGAACGAAGAGCTCCGTCTGTATCACCTACAAGAGTGGCCAGGACTCATTTGCTTGAACCATTCCCCACTGCCCCCATGGTGTACGTGAGCAGGAAACTGGAACTGGAAGCAGAGCTGGATTCACTAAGAGATGCTGGTATCCTAGACGGCATCCTAACCATTGTCAAAGGCCCACCACTGAGGTGTTGTTTTAACTATTTTATATATATTTTTAAAGATTTATGTATTATTTTAGGATCTGAAATGCAGAGTTTCAGAGGAGGAGAAATACTGGTTCATTTCCCAGGTAGCTGCAACAGCAAGAGCAGGACCAGGCCAAATGCAACAACCCAGAACTCCATGTGGTTCTCGCAGAGGGACCATCCTCTGTTGCTTTCCAAGGCAGGCTAGCAGAGCGCTGCATTGGAGTGAAGTAACCGAGACTCACACCGATGCTCTGATGCGGGATGCTGGTGTCACACGTGGCAGTGTGATGGCTGCCGCAACACCAGCCCCTCAACCGTGAAGGTTGAGACTCACTCCCCTGGTGGTCATGTGATGGACATCTAGGAAAGACAGCTTTTGAGGGATGACGAGTTGTCCTTTGACCGTGATAAATCTTAGCATAACTTTTTGAATATCATATAAAGAGGCCAATTTTTACACATGCTTAAGACCTGTTATACCCCAGTTATATTCAGTAACTTGAAAATTGCATGTATCACATAGTTTTTCATAAAGGGACACAACATTATTTCCTATTAACTTGTGTGTATGTGTGTGTATGGGTCAAGTATGGAAAATCATAGAGAAATCACCCATTAATGTGCTTCTTAAAATTGTTTTGATTTGCCTATTGTTTTTCTATATGGGGAAATGTTACATGTAAATATAGCTTTTAGAAAATATGCCTGCTATAAACACAAAGTAGTGACAGCTACTTTTTAACTTAATGTGTTCCCACACACAGAAAAATGACTCCTCAGTGTTTTTTTTTTAATTTAATTTAATTTTTTAGCTCCTTCAGGGAATAGAATAAGGTTATTTTCTTTAAAGATTTATTTTTATTATTTTTTTACTGGAAAGGCGGATATACAGAGAGGAGAGACAGAGAGGAAGATTTTCCGTCCGATGATTCACTCCCTAAGTGAGCTGCAACGGCCGATGCTATGCCGATCCGAAGCCAGGAGCCTCTTCCGATTCTCCCACGCGGGTGCAGGGTCCCAAAGCTTTGGGCCGTCCTTGACTGCTTTCCTAGGCCACAGGCAGGGAGCTGGATGGGAAGCGGGGCTGTCGGGATAGAACCGGCTCCCATATGGGATCCCGGGCGTGCAAGGCAAGGACCCCAACCACTGCGCCACCGCGCCGGGCCCTAGAATAAGGTTATTTTTATCACGCACCTTACAGTCAAATGGCACCTGCTGCGCTGACGAGTGTTGTGGCTCTTGTTCTCTACCCTAGGAGTGCTGCATGGCCATTCCTCTTTCTCAGATTGTGTTCATTGAGGAACAAGCGGCTGGCATTGGGAAGAGGTGAGCTCTGCCTGGCTCAGGCTTCATTCACAAGAAAACTCCTCCTGTCCCACTGATAGTCGGAAGGCTTCTGAAGGTTATTTTCCCACCTAACTTTTCTTGGATGTTCTTTTCCTTGGTGTCTGAAGTCAGCCGTAAAAGCATCAGTAAAGCACTAAAGCTTACTGACTATTGTTGGGTTAACATACACAAGTCCCGCTGTCACTGTTTGTATTTCCACAGATGTTTTGCATGTCTGCGTGTCTGTCATTCCATACATAAAGTCAGAAGTGAACCATCTGAGAAAAATAGCTTTGTTCTTACTTTTGGCTGATCATCCAGTTTAGTTCTCAAGTTTGAGTTAGATAGTGGGATTAGATAGTTTTTCATGCTAGTTACTGTACAAAATGGGGCATTTATAGGTAATAGGAGACAGATAATTATTAGACCAGATAATAAACATAAATTTGCAGTAATTCCAGAGGCAGCAGGAGCTGTGGCCATTGTGCTGTAAAGACTTGGGTTTAGACGTGCACTGGAGTGTTGATGTTTGAAGTATTTTGTCAGCAAAGAATATTAGCATGGAGTTGTTTTTCTGAAAGGCCTAGCGTGCAGCATGGTTTAACACTTGAATGGGAGTGAAACAGTATGGAACTTCCCTGGAAGTGGCATGCAGGCCTCAACAACAATATTACACATACTGTAAATGATTGCTTATTGACATGAAGTAAACTAATAATTTTTAAAAAGATTTGATTATTTATTTGAAAAGCAGAGTTAGGGTGAGAGAGAGCAACTGAGTGAGAGAGATTGTTGTTCCACCCACTGGCTTATTCCCCAAATGGCTGCAATGGCTAGGGCTGGGCCAGGCTGAAGCCAGGAGCCAGAGGCTTCATTTGGATCTCCCAAGTGATTGCAGGAGCCCAAGCACTCGGGTTGTCTTCTGCTTCTTTCCCAGGCACATTGACAGGGAGTTGGACTGGAAGTAGCGCAGCTGGAACTTAAACTGTTACACACAATGCCAGCCCATAACCATTACTTTCTAAAAGAGATTTATTTATTTACTTACTTACTTGGAGGACAGAATATCAGAGAGAAACGGACAGAGAGAGAGAGAGAGAGAGAGAGAGAATGAGGAAGTAATTTCCATCTATACTGGTTTACTCTCCAAATGGTATAACTGGGGTTGGAGCAGGCTGAAGCAAGGAGCCAGGAATTCCATCTCGGTCTCCCACATCAGTGTCTGGGGCCTAAGTACTTGGACCATTGTCTTCTGCCTTCCCTGGCACATTAGCATGAACCTGGATCAGAGATGGGAGAGTTGGCTGGGGAGGCGGGAAGGCTGGGTCAGTGGCTCAACTGGCTAATCCTCTATCTCCAAGTGCAGCATCCCCTGTGAGTGTTGGTTTATGTCCCAGATGCTCCACTTCCCGTTCAGCTCCCTCCTTGTGGCCTGGGAAAACAGTAGAGAATGACCCAAATCCTTGGGACCCTGTACCGACATGGGAGACCAGAGGTGACTCTGGCTCCTGACTTCCAGTTGACTCAACTCTGGCCATTGCAGCCATTTTGGGTAGGAAAGCAGATGGAAGATATTTCTCTGTCTTTACTTCTCTGTAAATCTGACTTTCCAATAAAAATGGATAAATCTTTTTTTAAAAAAAAAGAATAATAAGAAGGACAGTCAGGACTTGGACTGGCTCACTGCTATTGGATGCTGGCATTGTAATTGATGGCTTAACCCATTGCGTCACAACCAATAGCCTACCAACCAACATTTTAAATAGATCAATGAGCCATAGGTCTTTTTTTTTTTTTTTAAATAAAGCTACTTTTAATACTTTGGGGTGTGCCCCACAGGAATAAAAAACACTGGGAAGAGGCAACCTCCCCAGAGTGGCGGGGGGAGAGGCTACCTGAGGACAATGAAGCACAACAGGGACCCACTACAGACTCGCGGCAAGGGAAATGCCATCAGCGCTGCAGTGCAGGACACGCGAGCAGGTGGGACTGGCTGCAGGCACTCAGGCGGAGGGCAAGAGGGTTGGACACGAAGCCACAAGCTACTTGGGTTCCTCCTTCTCGTTTTTCTGCTTTTGCCGCGTGATCCCGAGTCCCTCTGCTTGCGGGTGGCAGCGGAAAGCCCGTCATCTCGGCGCTTTCCGTTAACCGAGTCGCTCTGCTTGTTCATGTTTTTCTGGCGGGAGAGTTCACACTGTCACTGCGGGTCGTGGCGCTGCCGGTTCCCGCCTCTCTCCGGTGCATCCCTCGCGCAGGCCCCAGTGAGCCATAGATTTTTAGAGTAGGGTATTCCTATTACTTATGTTTTCCCTTTATCATTTCTAGAATGTAAAGCTGTATGGGCATAGCAGATCATTGAATTTTTCATCTTCTGTGTTCTACTCTGGACCAGAATAACAAACGATTTAGAATATTTACGTTCAAATTAGGGTCTTTTTAAAACAACTCCGTTGTAATATGCCGGTTTAACTTTTCTCAAATGTTCTATTTAGTTCCCACTTTTCCCATTAAGCAGTTACTTTATCACACTGATTTAACGAATATGAATTTGGTTTTATCTGTTAATATTCTCTGAATTCATTATTTTAAGCCAATGAAATATGGTAACTGAATGATTTAATAAAAATATGCAAAATTGGCCTGGCTTTTGAGCACCTGCTTTGGAAGTTACTTTGTTTTGTAGGCAGTCAGCTTTTCGTTGGGTTTCTTTTGAGAGAATATCAGAGTAGGGCTAGGTTTCTGACTTCACAGACTGCAAAAATACTTTTGCTGTCAGTTTTCCATAATTGTCATAACTTCTTGCACTGTTGAAGATCTGTTTCAGTCCTGTGCATCTGCTTGTGCCATTTATGAAGGTATTTCAATTCAGGGAGAAGGCTTTTTTTTTTTTTTTTTTTTAATTGGAAAGTCAGATATACAGAGAGGAAGAGAGACAGAGAGGAAGATCATATGTCTACTGATTCACTCCCCAAGTGACTGCAACAGCTGGAGCTGATCTGAAGCCAAGAGCCAGGAGCCTCCCCCGGGTCCCCCACGCAGGTGCAGGGTTCCAAGGCTTTGGGCCATCCTCAACTGCTGTCCCAGGCCACAAGCAGGGAGCTGGATGGGAAGCGAGGCTGCCAGGGTTAGAACTGGTGCCCATAAGGGATCCTGGCACGTACAAGGTAAGGACTTTAGCTGCTAGGCTACTGCACCGGGCCCTGGAGTCTTTTTTTTTTTTAAACGATAAAACAGAACAAAGCAAAACAAAAAATTAAGCATGAATTTAAAAAATATTTTGCACCAAAGTAAAGTTATTTAAAAAAAAATTTTTTAACTTACTTATTTTCATTTTGTTTGAAAGATGGAGTCAGACATGAGTCTCATATCTGTTGGTATATTCTCTAAATTCCCACAGAGCCAGGGCTGGACCAGGCCAAAGCCGAGAGCTTAGAAGGCCATCCCACTCTCCCTTGTAGGTGCTAGGAATCCAGGTACCTGAGCCATCACTTGCTGCCCCCCACGGTGCACGGTAGCTGGAAGCTGTTGGGACACATACTGACCGTAACTTGATCCAGGCACTACGTGTTAGACGTGGGTACCCCAAGCGGTGGCTTCACTCCTGCGCCATCTTCTAATTCATTTCTGCAATCTGTTTTGAAGTGCCCTTGCATTTGCATACCTGACTTGAAAATGCTCACCATAAAGAATCGAAGAAGCCTTCGCACGGTTGGCCTCAGTTCACAACCAAAGCCTTGGCCCATCTGACTAAGCTCAACCTCTGGTGTTTCAGTTTTTCAGTGATACTCAGACAGCCCGAGGGGCCCAGACAAGGCAAAGCAAAATTAAATCATGTGTGCAGTTATAAAATGACCACAAAGAATACATCCTAAACTACGGAACGGGGATATTGTGACCATTTCATTTTGCTCATCTTTATGGAGGACTGTTTATTGAAGAGATTGGAAAAAAGAGAGGAAAGCAGACTTGTAATGCTGAACAAACACAATGGTATTTTTAATAATGTGAAAGATAATAGCAGTCCTAAAGATAACGGTAGCTTAGTGTTCCTCAAGCAGCAGGTTCTGAGACGTGTTTTTGTGATTGGTTATCTTTCTGGATCATGGTGTTGACTGAGGGGTGTTTTCAAACAGATGACTCTGTAGAATGTTGGTTTTGGATGGAGTTTTAACAAAACATCAGCTGGCCAGGTGTCTAGATAAGTTTTCACATCTTACTTTTCAAATGACTAAGGTAAGTTAACTTTGGCAGAAATTTTAGGCCCCTCCTAACCTTGGGATGACGTGTATGTGGAAAATCATAATCCTAAGCCTTTAAAAATTTTGCATTTTATTTTGAACTTATTTTCTAAAACCATATTTTGAACTGAATTGATAAAGTAACTTAAACTTTGGGGGTTAATAACTGAGAAGTTGGAAAGAGAAGCTTCTGAAAGCTTCATTACAGTTGATGCAAAGTTAAAACTATGCTTTTCAGGATGCTCCTTGTTTCTGCATGAATATGAAAACATATTAACTTAATGAGTACGGAATTGGTGGTGTCTGACAGGCAGTTAAGTCTCTGATATTTGCTCTTCCTTAAGTGCCAAGATAGTGGTTCATCTTCACCCAGCTCCTTCCAGCAAAGAACCGGGCCCATTCCAGAGCAGCAAGAACTCCTACATCAAGCTCTCCTTCAAGGAGCATGGTCAGATTGAGGTGAGTCCCTGGATGGGGGAAACTGGAGTGCAGTTGTACAGACACACCCACATGTGTGCATGTGTGAGCACAAACACACCTGTTTTTGTTGTCATTTGTTAATGTGATAAAACAGGATTAAACAACATACCAAGTCTTACTATATTTTTCAAATTAGATTTATGTTGTATCTTAAACCTTATGAAGGAAAGTGGAGAATATGAACTCTGGGTTTGGTTGGGAATGGGAAGCAGAAGGGTGTTGTCACAGGGGGAGCTGTGTCCGGGAGTGTGCTCAGTCATGCTACCTAGCTGCTAGTAGGATTTTCAAAGGAATAGCTGAACTAAAGGGACAGAGAACTCAGTACTCAGAAAATTTTCTGGAAAACAGAATTATAACATAAATTCATTTTGTTGAAAATACTTTGAAATCCATGCATACAAAGGTGCTACAGAAAGCTTCTGAGAAATGTGTACTATGAACAAAGTGTGCATGGGTTTCAAAATATTTTGCAATCTTTCAATTTCATTTTCCCCAAATTTTTAAGTATGCCTGGACAATGCAGGGAAATGTTTATTGCTGCATTGGAAAGCTCACTAGCATTAACTTGGCAGCTTGTCTTATGAACGCCATACAAATTTAATCCCTTAAGTACTTATTCTGTAGCACAGTGATGTAAATATCCTACCTAACAAATCCCTTGTAAGCATTCTCAAGACATTTGCAACTGTGTGTTCTTTCCCCATCCGGTCGTTATTATCTTTGTATTCTTTTCTATAGCACTTCATTCAGTGCTTCTCCCATGGTAGCTACCAAGCAAAAATAAGTGACTCACTGAAGTTATTCTTTTTTTTTTTTAAGATTTATTTTGTATTTTTATTGGAAAGGCAGATATGTAGAGAAGAGATACAGAGAGGAAGAGCTTCTGTCCGCTGGTTCACCCCCAAGTAGCCGCAACAGCCTGAGCTAAGCTGATCTGAAGCCAGGAGCCAGGAGCTTCTTTTGGGTCTCCCACTTGGGTGCAGGGTCCCAAGAGTTTGGGCTGTCCTCAACTACTTTCCCAGGCCACAAGCAGGGAGCTTGATGGCAAGCAGGGCTGCTGGGATTAGAACCGGCGCTCATATGGGATCCTGGAGCATGCAAGGTGAGGATTTAGCCACTAAGCCATCAAGCCAGGCCTGACTAAATCTTTTTTTTTTTTCTATGTGGATAGCAGGAACTCAATGACTCATTAGTACCTCCTGACCTTTTTTTTTTAAGATTTATTTATTTTTATTGGAAAGGCAGATGTACAGAGAGGAGGAGAGACAGAGAGGAAGATCTTCTGTCCACTGATTCACTCCCCAAGTGAGCGCAACGGCTGGTGCTGCGCCGATCCGAAGCCAGGAGCCAGGAACTTCTTTCCAGGTCTCCCACGCGGGTGCAGGGTCCCAAGGCTTTGGGCCGTCTTCGACTGCTTTCCCGGGTCACAAGCAGGGAGCTGGATGGGAAGTGGGGCTGCCGGGATTAGAACTGGCGCCCATATGGGATCCCGGCATGCTCAAGGTGAGGACCTTAATCATTACACTATAGTGCCGGGCTCTACATCATTTGTTTTAAAGATTTATTTATTTTTATTGGAAAGTCAGATTTACAGAGAGCAGGAGAGACAGAAAGATCTTCCATCTGCTGGTTCACTCTCCAAGTAGCCACAGCGGTCGGTGCTAAACCAATTTGAAGCCAGGAGCGAGGAGCTTCTTCTAGGTCTTCATCTGACCCTTCACAGGTGCAGGGTCCCAAAGCTTTGGGCCGTCCTCCACTGCCTTCCCACGCCACAAGCAGGGAGCTGAAAGGGAAGTAGCTCTGCTGGGATTAGGACTGGCACCCATATGAGATCCTGTTGCATGCAAGGCGAGGACTTTAGCCACTAGGCTACTGCACTGGGCCCCTGACTAGATCATTCTTATGGCAAATTAAAAATATGTTTGGTTACCTTTTGCAAATAGGCATGTTTTGGCTCTAGATTTTGACTTCAGATTTTAACCGGACAAATTATTCTGTATTGCCTTCATGGAAAATGGGCGTGTATTTTTCCTGGCATTGTGTATGTTTTACTACAGATTGAAAATAACCCACATATGCGAGATTATTTAAAATAAGTATTTATTCCATTGTCATTCATCCCTTTGTTGAGAATAACTCTCTTTATACAGAAGATCTGTTCCTTTTTTTCCCTTTCTTTTGATTTGTGAGGTTGTTCCAAGAAAAGAACTTCCTTTGATTTCCTTTGATGTCTGTGGGAATCTTAGGCTTTTTGCAAATGACTGAACAGATCTTTATGCTGAAGAAATGTAAACAGTGATTCATACAAACATGCCACCACCAAGTGGTCTCACTTAAATTTTCTGTATTTGTATAAGTTTCACAGGCGTTTATCAGAAGAAATGATACAGAGAAGATGGGAGACTATGCCGGTTTCCCAGTCGTTACAGACAGGACGAGGCCCCCAGGTAGGTTTAAAGACTGTTTGCTAATCTAGTATTTTTCGACTTTGCACTGACATCAGCAGAAATAAGACTCTAACTATAGAACTATCTCCCAAACAGACCAATGGTACTTTGAGTCGTAGCACCTCGTCTGATTCAGTTTTCCACTGCAGACAGGCTCTCACATGGCTAAAAGTTGGCAAGTACCAACATTTTAAGTACATTTATACTTTAAGACTGTACTTACCTGGTACATGATAACCTACCAAAGAACAGAAGTCAACAGGAAATTTAATTTATATCTAACACTTAAAAAAGAAAAAAAACCAGCCTATATGCCGTTTAGTATAGATTGCGTTTCTCTTTCATGATGTGGAGGTCACGGTGCACAGCCGGCAGCAGAGCCGTGTTCTGGAAGGAAGTGTCGGTGTCATTGTGTGCTGCTTCCCCTCGGTTCACTGTGGGTCCTTTCCCACCATTGAAAATACAATGCGGCGGGTGACGAGACACTATTTCCTTTCTGTTTTGTATGTTTTATTTTCTACTTTTTGTTTTCCAGCCAGGAAGAATAAGGGCAGTAGGAATTGTGGGCATTGAAAGGAAACTGGAAGAAAAAAGAAAAGAGACTGACAAAAACATTTCTGAGGTATCCCTTAGACATGCGAACTGCTCAGCCATTTTTTTTAAACCCTCGTATTTGTTCTTTTAGATATAGCTGTGACCAATTCTGTTCTATAATTTGTAAAATACTTTGTTGATGTCGACCCAAGCACTGAGATGGGATGGTGCAGGTACCGATAGTCACCGCTTGCCCTGTTGGTTTTCATGCTGTGCTACAGAGAGATGCGGAAGCTATGTCACCGTAGCCACCGTCTTCTAAGAATCTTCTGTTCCCCTAAAATTCCAGTACTTTGGTACTAGAAGAGAAGAAACTGACCTAGAGCGACTGGCTGGATTGGAACCAGGGGCAGCTTCACAGTACACTGCATCCTACAGTCACAAGAGGTGCTGTTTCTGAGCACTTACAACAGCCACCTTGTCACCTCACTTTGTGTTGAGACTTTTGGGGGTGGCAGAGGTGTCTGCACTTATTTCTTTCATAAATGCTACTCATTCTAACTTGATGATATGTTCAAAATGTCTTCCTTAGTTTATTTCAGTGTAAGTTTCACTGAGGCCGTGGCTGAAAGAACTCTGCATTGTTGCGTGTCTCATTCAGATGACTGATTTGCTTTCTGCTGTGTGCTGGGCCCAGCCCAGGATGCTGCTGGAACGGCAGTGATGCCCCCAGCTAGAGGCAGGCAAGCAGCCAGGGTCTGTACTTGGTGTGCTGCAGTGAGAGCACATTACAGGGAAGGCTTGAGTACAGCAGGAGCCGGGAATTCAAAGCGGCCAGCAGCTGGGGAGAGACTGGGACATACAAAGGCACAGAACTAAGAGTACTGAAACCAGAAATTCAAGAATGTAGTAATAGTTACTGAAACGAATAACCGAAGGACTGAAAAGAAATGTTGTCATCAGTCGTCTTCAGTTTTTCAACAAATGGCATTTTTCTCTAAATTGGAGTGAGATTTTACTTTGGCTGTGGTTAGAGGGACCGAAGATTCTGTAGATAGAATTATATAAGGAACACGGGAATTTATTTTGCTGTAATTTTTATTGTAGGTAAGTTTTGATTGTTTTTAGGAGAGGTAAGCCAGGAGCCTAGGACTCCATTTGAACGCCTCGCCTGGGTGGGGGCCGTTGCACGGGGCCATCTGGTGCAGCTCTGTCAGGTGCAGGAGCAGGGAGCTGGACCAGAGGCAGAACAGCTGCGGCTCAAACCAGTGCTCTATGGGATGCCAGCATCGCAGGCAGTGCCACTGGACTCCGCTGCCAGCTTCTCTGCCCATTTTTTTCCTGATGGTTGGCTAATTCCAAATTTTAGGGTAATTACTGATGTGTGGAAAATTGCATTTTGTTATTATTTGATATTTTATAAATAACCCCAAGGCACCAGAAGATTTCTTTTTTTATGTCTATATAGGACTAACTTATGTGTTATGTATGGGCTCACTATTATAGCATGCATTTTCAATGAAAATGTAAAAAATTGAAGCAATTTTCCATGTAAAACATGAAACTGCTTATCGGTTGAGGTGCTTGTTACATGTTCAGAGTAAAAATAAATCTAAGCGTGTAAACGCTCGCTCTCTTTGGGAAAGCTAGGTTGCTGTGTGATTTGCCCTCTCCTTCAGCGCTGTAACAGGCTTCGTTTTAGAGCTGGTGCCCACAGTTTCCCACAAAGGGCTTCCTGCATCTGCTGGCTGTTGCTGATAAGAACCCAGGGTTAGGCCTTTTGTTTATCTGAGGAAATTCCTGTTAGGTGTGTGCTCGCTCCCCTTTGTTCAGCGTTAGCCTTGGTGAGCTGTGCTTGGACTCTTGCAGGGCACTGTTCTAACAGAGCCTGTTGCAGATGGTCTGTGTGGACAGACTGATTCAGTTTGAAGATGCCTTTGAATTGGATATTTATTGTAGAAAACCGAACAATTGATGGCTATTCTTTAGAATCACTTGTTGGTCCTAGGAGAGCTTTTCTGGAGTTATAGTCAAAGCTCTAAGTAGAAAGTGTTTCAATTCCAAGGTAGAGCCTGCTATTTTCAGTTAAATCATACCTGCTATTAAAGCCCGCATTGTGCCTAGGAAGTCCTCCTGCAGCCACCTACTCTGTTCTCCACCAGGAAAGCAATCTCTGGACATACCAGCTCGGAAGTCCCTGAGCTCAGATGGGAGACCAGGAAAGCTTTCTAGCACTTTGGATTCTTGACCTCCCATGAGCAAATGATTTTAGTAAAAACCAGTAAAAGAAATTGTTTTTTGTTTTGTTTTGTTTTTTTAAGATTTGTTTACTTGTAAAACAGCATTATGGAAAAAGATATCTTTCATGTGCTGGTGCTTGCCACACATGTCCATAACGGCCAGGGCCAGCCAAAGCCAGGAGTCTGGAGCTCCATCTGGGTCTTGCAGGTCGAGAACAGGTGCTCAGGAGCATTGGCGGGGAGCTGGATCAGAAGTGGAGCAGCTGAGACTCACAGTGGCGCACATCTGAAATGCCAGTGTTGAAGGGGAGGCTTAACCACAGTACTGGCCAAAGATTTTTTTTTTTATCATCTCAAATACTATTCATTTTCTGAATGATTAATCAATAATAGCCATTTTTCTCTTTGAAAACTTGAAGGGATTTTTGCCATTGTTTTAGAATATTTATGGTTTACTAAACTGAATTTTTACAATAAGAGATTCACTACTGGAATAAATATATTACTACATTGGTATTTATAAGAAAAATTTCATGTATTTTTCCCACACAGAAAAACACAAATGGTACTTTATAGCTTTAAAGTCTTCCAACAGAAACTTATTTCTCGTTTCAGGCTTTTGAAGACCTCAGCAAGCTAATGATCAAGGTATATCATTTCTGCCTCTTTAAGTGTATACCGTTCATGATCCATCTTGGAAAATATACGTTAACTGATTCTTTGGGGACATTTCTTTTTTCTGTGCTTTTCTTTGGACAGGCTAAGGAAATGGTGGAGTTATCAAAATCAATTGCTAATAAAATTAAAGACAAACAAGGTGACATCACAGAAGATGAAGTAAGTTGGTTCCTTTTTCTAAAAGCATTAGAAACTACACACAGAAGTAGTGCAGAGTAGTGTAGTGTCCTGGGGTTTGCCAGTTTGCTTTCTTACTGTGATGTTGTAGTTTTATTTTTCCTTTTTAAGAGTTTGAGGATATATTTACAAGAAGTTAAAGAAAAAATTATGAGCCATAAAAATCCATTTATTTGTAGTAGGGTTAAAGGTTATTTCATTGGCTTTCCTTGGAGTGTAAAAAGAGAGAGATCGAATGTAAAAAGACTGGATGTTTCATATATCTGTATGACTGTGTCTCATTAAATTTGTTTATACTGTGGTCAGAGCCCTTTTGCTTTCTAAGTTTTTGATTTTGTCATATGACTGGCAGTAATTTTAGCTTAGGTAGTATCTAATCTCTTTTCCCATCCAACTTACAAAATAAGAGACCAAGACAGAAGAAGCAAGAACTATTTTTGCAAGGAACTTCTGGAAATTGGGTCCCTTATAGCTCACGGTACAGAAATACAATAGAAGAAATGAGTGTATGTAAAAATGAATGAGCAGATTTGAATTCATGATGGAAGGATTTCATATGTGTAGGTGGAGAGATAAATTGTGACAATTTTTTGGTGAATTTTCTTCTTTCTTCTTTTAGACCATCAGGTTTAAATCCTATTTACTGAGCATGGGAATAGCTAACCCAGTGACCAGGGAAACTTACGGCTCCGGCACACAGTACCACATGCAGCTGGCTAAACAGCTGGCCGGGATACTGCAGGCACCTTTGGAGGTGAGAACCAAACTTCAGTGCACTTGGAAACTGCAGTCATGGCTGAGTCCTCAGAAATCTCAGCAGCGGAACTCTGCCTGATGTGGTTATTATCAAACAACATGTTTTAAGAATAATAAATTAGTTCAGTATAGTCATATCAGTGAATCTTTGTAATCTTCTAAGTGAATTCTAGTTTCCATTTCTGATATTTATAGCTTTCTAACTCTATTTAATGTGAACTTTTTCTTGTCTTCAAAAAGTTGTGTATGTATGTTCTTTCTGTAGCTGTATTTTCATGCTGCAGCTAGTCTTTAATATAGCATACTGTTAATAATTTCAGAATACAGATTCATCTAGCCTTTCAGCATCCCACCAGTCAAAACTTTATTAAGGCTCTGGCATTAAAGACAAATTTCAAACATATACCAAAATAAATAATATAATGAATCCATGTGCCCATCATCTAGTTTTACCTATAAATCAGTCTCCACTCAAAATCATTTTTAGAACACATTCCATCATTTTAGCTGCAAATATTTCAGCAACTATAATAAAGACTGGTTTAAACACAACCATAAGCCCGTTTCACACCCAAAACACTAAAAATAGGGGCAGGTATCGTAGGGCTGGTTTAGGAGGCCTGCACCCTGTGTAAGGGTGCCTGGGATGAAGTCCTGCCTGTGTTTCCCACTCAGCCTGCTGCTGATCACACCCTGAGGGGAAGCAGCAGATGAGCCAGGAGCTTAAATCCCTGCCACCCCCGTGGGAGACCCCAGTCCAGCTCCAGGTTCCTGGCTTCGGCCTGATCCGTGCCTGGCTGTTGCGGCATTTGAGGGGTGAACCAATGGATGGAAACACTGTGTATGTATATAAAACTTTTAAAAAAAAATGCTGTTTCTAATTCTAACACTATTTGCAAATTTTATATTTTATTAGGAACGAGGGGGAATAATGTCACTCACGGAGGTGTACTGCTTAGTGAACCGGGCTCGAGGAATGGAAGTAAGCTTAGAATCATTGCTTTTTAAACTAAATCTAGACTTCCTTGCAGTGTCATGGAAATTCTCCTGTAGTGGCTAGTTGCAGTCTGAGAAGGGGTTATGAATGTGATGCTACTTTGAGACACCGTGTGGTGCAGGGGAAAAGAACAGGGCCCTGGGATCTGGGAGATGGGTGGTGTCCTCCTTCTGTCGGTGCCTCGCAGAGTGACCCTGAGTGGCTCACTTACCCTCCCTTATCTGGAAAGAAGCGCTCAGATCGAGACCCCAGGCTTTTCTGCTGTGTGTATGCACTGTGATGCATGAGCTCAGACACAAAGCCCTGTATGCACGTGACCCTGTAGATCCTGCAGAGTGAACGGAGTGCTCTGGCCCCCTTCACACCCCTCATGTGATACTTCATTTATCCTGCCAGTAACTGGGCGAGATGGCTGCTTTGCCTATTCTCTTCTGGAGAATAATTGGGGGGTGAGGCAGTAGATGCTTAGATTCAGCAACTTGACCAAGGCCAGGCAAAAGACAGGGCTTGGGACCGTCCTCTGTGATTCCATGCCGTGTTCCCCACCACTGCCCTGATCTGATTCCTTGAGCTGTGCTGCCAAAAGGTACCCGCCAGCCAGATTTAATGTGGTGAATCCAGACTGAGATGTGCTGGAAGTGTAGAATGCACACTGCCTTAGAAGACGTTGTCCAAAGCAATGCTTCATATCTCATGGCTCATTTTATACTAATTATATGATTCTTACACTGATTTTATTGAATTAATTGAAAAATGTTCAAATTAATTTCACTTGTTAAAAAAATGTGACTTTATTATATTCCTTTGGATGGCACTGCTTTCATGAATACAAATCTTAGGATCCTGTAGTAATTGGGTCATTTCTGTATAACGCTTCCTTCATGGATGGTGTTTTGATTTCCTCTTTTTGTTTTAGTGGTTTTGACAGCTTTGTAGAATTGCTTTATTGATTTGCAGTGGAACTTTTTTTCCCCCATTAGTTGCTGTCACCAGAAGATTTAGTGAATGCCTGCAAGATGCTGGAATCGCTGAAATTACCTCTCAGGTAAAGGAAGCGCCCGAGGTTAGCCCTCTTAGCTACACTCCCACATTGGACAGGCAGGGGAGCACAGCCAGATTCACCCTTTGGAGAGGACAGCAGGGGACTCCTCTCTGGAGGCCAGAGTGATCGGGCTCCCTACGGCCTTCCGTGTTGGTCTCGGAGGACTTGGAAGCATGGGGTTCGGCTGTGACTTCTATCTTCCTTTTACTGACAAGAGAGTAGCAAGCTGTACTCTTTTCATTGTGCAGATTCTAGTTTCTCATTTACTCTCGAGCTTTTTGGTTTTGTGTAGTTGCTTGTGGTTGCTATGTCTTGTGTCCCTGTTGCTCCCAAACGTGAGCATAGAAGAAAGTAAGAACTAAGTGCCTCTCTTCGGCAGCAGACATCCCAGCTGACCGGCTTTGGTATCTGCGGTTTTCAGGCTCCGAGTTTTTGACAGTGGCGTCATGGTCATCGAGCTCCAGTCCCACAAGGAGGAGGAAATGCTGGCCTCAGCCCTGGAGACGGTATGTGAGCCCCGCTTCCTTGCCGTGAAGTCATCAGAGCTTAGCAACTTGAGAAACAGGATTTCCTTTTGCCTTCCCCGTCACTAAAAAGTTAACATTCAGAGGCCCAATTAAATATGGGCTGGCACTAGCGATGAAGGTGTATTCAGCAAAATTGTACATTCAAAGTTTTGTGAAACTTATTGGTAGTTTTAATTAACCTAAGTCAGGACAGCTAAATTGGTGAGGTGTTTTCTTTTCTGTTGAAGCTCAGTGTTGAGAACAGATTTATAACTTTATTAATTAGAAATGATACACAATTGAACTTTCAATTTTAGTAACACCTACATAAGTAGCATTTTTAAACAGCACAAGTTGTTCTGTGAAATAATTGCTCAGAAAATATGAAAAGCATCAGTTTTCTGCCCAACAGAATATTGCCCAAACAGCCAATATTAATCGTTGGGATACTTGAAATAGTCCCATGATGAAAGTATGTAATTTGAATAACTCATTTGAAGTTGGATGCAAGCCTCAAGACTATGTTATAGCTTCTATGATGTATCTTATGCTAGCCCTGCGTTTGCTCCCTTCCCTGGGGCGTGTGAGATGCAGTCAGAGTTGATTACATGTTCTTTTCAGGGTATTGAATGATACTTTGTAGGCTTCACACAGGAGTTGTATTTTGATATTTTAGACCTCACTACCTTGGTTCTAGGTCCTTCAGATTTGTAGATTTAAACATTGATTAAGACTTAAGTTGTACAGTGACTGTGGAATTTTAGTGGAAAATGCAATACATCATTTCTGGCATCTGCTGAAAGACATGCGGCCTAAGGCCAGAAGCCGGTTAGGTCTCCTCACTCACACTTCACCTGTGTTCCCGTCAGGTCTCAGAAAAGGGATCCCTCACCTCAGAAGAGTTTGCTAAGCTCGTGGGGATGTCTGTGCTCCTGGCCAAGGAAAGGTGGGTTAGCTGCTCGCCCTGCATCATTACATTGGGGTCCGTGTCCCTGGACAATGAGGTAACTGCCTTTGTTTCTTCTTGTTCCCAGGTTGCTGCTTGCAGAAAAAATGGGCCATCTTTGCCGAGATGACTCAGTGGAAGGCTTGCGATTTTACCCAAATTTGTTCATGACTCAGAGCTAAGGGCTGTGTGTCTGAAACACCTTTCTTCATGTACTTGCATCATGTAGAGGTTGTATGAAGTTAGCTAAGATAGGCACCCATGGGCTGAGGATTTCTTAGAGTTTCATAATCTAATCTATAACTTTTTAAATTTCTCCTTGACTCGTATGGCCCAGGAAGATGCACATAATAAAATACAGAGTAGGAATGCCAACATGGACTTAAAATTATACTGTAGTTGTGCAGAATCCTCAGACTTGAAAGATGATGGATTTTATCTTGACCTTGGGTAAAGAAAAAGAGAAGCTGCATGCTTAGACAGGTTATTATTCCAGTGTGACTAAAATTCACTGAAATGTAAATGAAGTTTTTCTCTGTGTCTGTTGTGCCCAATTGGGGGGATTTTTATGAAACAAGTCATATCTACTACAGGTTAAAAACCTGACCAGAATGCCCACCTGCCGATTGCCACAGGGGTTCCTCCTAGGGCTGTATTTCAGAGGCAGTCATAGCATGTCTTCACCAGACCAACTAAAACGCCTTTTAAAAAGAGAATTTTATTTGAATTTCATATTTTTATTCCAACTAGTTTTTCATTTTTTAAGAAAAATGCTGATTTCACGGTTGGCATTTGAAGAATGCAACTGTTGTCATGTTTTTAAAAAATGCTGTGGATTTTGAAACTGAGTTAAAGAGCTGCATCAACATGCCCAAAGTTAGGATTACAAATTTGGGAGGTGGGCAGCTCAGGAATGCCCTAGGACTGTTCTACATGTACTGGGTCCCAGGCAACCACAGCGTTCTTTTACCTCAAAGCCAAGGATGAGAAATAGAATATGAAAAATAATATGACTCCTTTCCTCCTCCCTTAAGGAGTTTCAGCACTTAAATTTTTTAAAAAAAATCTTTCTGTCATATTCCAGTAGTATTTTTTCTTCTTTGCCCTCCACATTAGAGATTGTGTGGATAAAACACCTCAGTGAAGTGTTCTTGAGATGACAGCACACAACTCATGTTGCCTGTGTACTGTTTGGGTGGCCCATCCGACTTCATGTGTGACTTGCTGTGTGGCGTGTTCCAGGTCGGCGTCAACTCAAACTCAGGGAACAAAGCGGGGACCTGTGGAATGGAAGAGGACACCCCTTTGGAAGCGGAAGGGAAGTGGTGGTTTTAGCCGAGCCTGTGGAACGGGCAGTATCCATGCTAGGAGAGCCACCAGGACCTGGCACAGACAGCCCAGGCTTGCATTCCCGGTTCCCCAGATGGTCTCACTCCCACAGATGGCCACTGCAGAAGCACCAGGGCCCTCAGCCACCCACCCAGGGCATGCCAGTCCCTGATCCTGGCCGGGAAAGCGTCTGTTGCTGCACCATGCCCTCTGGTGTTCCCAGGCATCCTGCTTTAGTCCTCATTTCCCACACCCATCTCTGACTATTCAGTTTAGCCTCTGGTTTATTTTGTGGGTAACCAGCATCTGGCTGCTCAAGTTTTTGAGGGGTGAGAGTTGCACAAACCTGTCTGTCTTGTCTTTGTCCAGGTTCCTTACTCTCCCTGCCCTGGAAAACCTGCACACACGTGCACACTGCCCTCGTATGTCCTATCTCATCTGGTTAAGGCTTTAAACACTAGAAAAATAAACATTTCACCAATTGGGAATATGGTGAGTAGGACTGTTGGAGCTGCCGATCTGGCTCTGATGGCGTGGATTCACTGCAGCAGGCATACATAACGTGTTCTTGTACTTGTTTATGTAACATAGAAACAGCAGTCAGAACTGTGTAAAATAAATTAAACATACAGAAATGTGGCACATGAATTTATTTTGCAAATGTCACATTGATTTAAAAACAAGTACGATTCACTTTATTATTTTATTCTTTTTAAAAAATTTTATGCTTAAAGTAAACATTCCTCACTATTTCCAGGTGTCTTAATGAATTTTTGTCCTTCTTTTTCTTTGCTAACTAAAGGTGTTATTTTGGTCCTCTATTAGTAGAGTTATGTTCAGATGCAACCAATCAGGCCCTAAATGCAAAAAAGTTCTGTCTTGGTGCTTATCACTGCTATAATTATTATTTTTGTTTCCCTAACTTTATTCTTAGAAATATGAATCTCTTGGTAGCTTTATGGTATGGAATATTTCTATTCATTTGCTGATAAGAGAAAATTTTTTACATTGTGTAAAGTGAAGATTGTTTTCAGGGTTAAATGATTGGTTAATGTCTATAGAATAAAATAATTACAAAGTTTTAAAGTGGTTTTTCTTGACTTAGTGTTCTTTTTAAACACTCTGAAACACCTATGAAAGTGATAGCCACACTCGGCATATACATTAAGAACTTTTAGATTTTATACTAAGAGTTGCTTATAAATATTTATGGTGTCAGGTTCTATTTTCATTATCTTTAAAGGATGTGAAATGAGTCATGCCCTGCTTTCTGTGTTAATTCTTGCTGTGACTTCATGTGCTCGTGTGAATGTGCTGTGTCTTGTTCCCTGTCACCAGCCTGACAGACTGTGGACTCACCTCACCCTCATGCTTGGATAACCACAGTGGCTCCTCCTGCCCAGCGTCTCAGAGCTTCATTTTGGAATAGTGGACTCACAGCTTAAAGACTGTCCAGGGACAAACTCGAGCACATGCAAAAATGATCTTTGACAATCTCTTACAAAGTTGCCAGTGAAGTTCTTTTCATAGTCTTACTGTTTGTATCTTCATGGGATGAAACATAGGCATGAATACATTGTACATACAATAAATCCAGTATTCATAATTACATATGTAAGTGTATGTTGGAGTGAGGGTTGAATTTTTGTGAATCTGTTCCTGACTTCATCCCTTATGATCAATGTGAAGTAAGCCTCCACAAGGGCAGAGATTTTTGTTGGGTGTGTTGGATGCATTCTTGGAGCATGGAACAGGGCCTGGCACACAGTCGGCGTTCAATCAGTGTGTACTGAATTAGCAAATTCCAGTATATATGCCTATTTACAACCTGGCTCCACTTGATCCCACCTTAGCTCACATTCAATTCCGTTTACGAAGGGAAAACACACTTTTTTGCATAATGTAGACTTTGCAGGGTTGACGTGGTCGGGGAAACAGCCACGTGAGCAACCTGTACTGAAGATGGAAAGAAGTGTGCACGTAGAAGGGTTCCAGGTGCCATGCTGTGAAAAGGAGAGAGGAGCTTTCAGTTCTGCTGGAGAGTTCTGGAAAGGTGTGGTGGACAGCAAGAGCCTTATAAACTGGGCACACAAGGACCGAGAGACAGTGGAAGGCATGGGGTCACGGAAGAGTCTAAGAGAGACTTCCTGTTCCTGGACACATCTGCCCTTGGCTGTCCAGACTTCCTTTCACTGCTTCTCACATTCTTACCCACCTCACCCCAACTAACCCAAATCAGATTCACTTGCTCTAGAAAAGAATGTGTCCAGTACACAGCTGTTTCCACAGTCTGTAGGAGTTACTGTCTGTCATCCTATATACTTGATTGCTTTAATGATCATTTTGAAGCCCAAAGAAAACAGAGAAAGTGGATTTCTTTTAAGTTCAAAGACTGTCCTGTAATGCTTTTTTTGAATTCTCAGCTCTGCCCATGTGGAAGGTTTCTTGTGCCACGTGGGAGGTGATTGAACTGAGAGTTTGGATGCTAGCACTGCATAGTGTCAGGACTGATAGGCAAACCTGTCTGTCCTCTCCCCCCCTCTCAAGAGACACCCTCAACCATGGGCTCGTCTTACTGGAGTTCCAGGCCCCCTGCCTTATCTGTGCTCAGGGAATCACTCCAGGACAACTAGATCAAACACACACACACACAAGAGTCTGTTCTGTTCTGTAGAGGAAGACTAGGTCACTCATTTTCCTTGTTTCCTGATAACGCTATCCTGAGCCCTTATAACTCATCTCAGAGACTTTGTGAGGGCAATAGTAAAAGATCTTTTGAAAAGATCTATGCAAAGACAGAGGATCTGACCCAGAAAGAATGCAAGGTGTCTGAAAGCCGGATTCGCGATAGTTCAGTACTGACAAAGGCATGTCACTCCTCTTTTGGATTTTTTCTTGGTTTTATTAGAAAAGGTTAAATTGTATCAATAAAGACATTAATGATACAGTTTGGCAAGAATTCTAATTCAGACAAAAGTGACCAAGCAGCTCAATAAAGTTATTTTGAAAACGGCCAGGCATATGGATATAACCACTTGGAAATGGACTTGAGTCCTTTCACCCCTGGAGACTTTGGAAGGAACAAGTGTGTCTGAAAGGTCGGTGCACTTGGTTACCACACTGGGGGAAACCGGGGGGAAAGCAGGCCACCCAGGGCAGGGCTAGGTCCCACAGGGGCTTTGCCACAGACAACACAGACTGCCCTGCATCTGTGCAGATCTGAATCAGCTCCAGGCTCACTCAAAACTGAAAACGTCAGGGAGGTAGCCCCGTGGCAGGCGTTTGTCAAGAAATCCCGACTTACGTTGATGAATGGTTAGTGCCAGACAATTATGCTGGCAATAAAACTGGATAATAGCCTTAAAGCTTCTTTGGAACATTAGATGAATTTACTTAGTTCCTATCTGACAAAATGGGAACTTAGGAAAATAAGGTGTCTTTAATAGTTAGAATCGAACACTTGGGTTATCTTTTAAAAGATAAAGTGACGGGTTTAAGGCACCTGCCAACAGCATGTTGTTAAGTGAGTGAAAAAAGTTGAAAATCACAGTGAAAGGCAGTGAGCTTCCTGAGCCTTGACAAGTGTAAACCGCAGAAGTAACTCACATGCCAGCCGACAGGACTCTCCAAAGTGCTCCGGTGGCCGCCTCGCGGGAGGCCCTCGGCTCCAGTGTCCCTTACAGCACAGGAGCTGTCTCTTCGTGGGGTCTGTCGCCCGACGGCTGGGGCGAACCTGACAGCACCTCCCTGCGGCAAGAACAGGCTGTGGAGCCCGGCGGAACTCGCTCCTCCCGCAGTCTTTGAGGAGGGCAGCTTTCACACTTGCGGAGCAGTTTTCACATGCTTCCTTGTGATTGACTCAATGGACCTATTTCTGGCTCCTAGGAAAGAAAAGAAAAAAATAAAAAAAGAGGAAGAAACATTTTTACCTGTTCCTACTGAAATTTCCGTGGCTCTGCGGAAGACAAGTTTACAGTTCCTAACGCATTAGGCCACTTTGCGGGGTCTAGATCAGAAAGCGACCCTGGGGAAGTGAGGTCGGGCTGGGGCGCGCCGGAGGTCGCTAGCGCACCCCGCACCGCCCGCTCGGGTCTCCCCACCGCCGGCCGCCGCGTTTCCTGCGGGCTTCCCGGCCCAGTGCTCTGGAGGCGGGCAGGAAAGGATGCGCGGCCCCGAAGGGGCGGGGGCGGGTCCGGAATGACCCCCGCCCTCGCCGCGCAGCCAGCGGAGGCGGAGGCGGGCTCGGGCGGGGCGCGCAGTCCGCGGACGCGGGATGCTGGGCGCGCAGCCTCGCCGGCCCTGAGGCCTCCGCTGCGCCTGGCACTGGGCGTTGGGTCCCGTCACCCGGCCCGGCGTCTCGAGAGGTAAGGAGAGCCTTCTGCCGCCGCGGGTCCCTGCCACCTCTCCGCAGCCCGAGGGCGCGCTGCGGACTCCCCGTCTGCGCCACCGGCTGTCCGGGAGCAGGTGTTGCCAGGAGGCTGAGTGGGCCGTGAGCGGCACTGAACCAAAGTTTTGGGACCGCGAATACCAGGCGTTGTTGCTTGAAAGACGAAGTATTACATTGGGATACAAGCGGTGTGGGGAAGGGAGCTGTGTGCCAGGGCCGGAGTTGGCAAGCGTTGAAGAAGGGCTGCGAGCACTTGGGATGCCTCAACCAAGGCCGAGCCAAAGCACAGGTATCTTTCAGTGTGTGTAAGTTCTTGACTGTTTAAAATGATACTCTGTGATGCATTGTGTATAGATAGGCAGGGCATTGGGTACAACTTGTTGAAAGAAAATTCACAAGCAAGGTAGACAATCGAATTAAAGCGAAATGTTAAGATTATGGTATTCAAATTAGGATAATAATTTATAGTCTGATTTATTCTGTAATTCTGTTGCTATCCAGCTTAGAATATAGATGATAGTTCAAGTCCATTTTACTGCTCATTTTCATGAGAAGACTGTGTTAAAGTTACAAAATCCACTGTGGTTGAGGGAATCAGATTTGTTGGCGTGGGCCTTGGCATAGTGGGTGAAATGCCTGCCTCCTACTTTCGAGTGCCTGGGTTCGATCCCTGGCCCTGGCATAACTCAGTTGGGTGTCTGTCACCATCATGGGAGACCTGCATGGAGTGCCTGGCTTCTGTCCAGTTCCAGTCATCTTAGGCAACTGGAGTGTGGGCCAGTAGATCAACTTAAAAAAAAATACATGGTTATCATGGGGAAGCAGGTGGGGAGCTGGCTTCTCCTTGCGCCACTGTGTATCAGTGACTTAAAGGAAGTGGTCATGCTTACCTGTGAGGATGGGTTGATGCCAGGGCTTCACCTGTTGGCTCTGGCTGACTTATGCCATTCAGGTGCAGGGGGCTGTTTCTCCCCAAACAAGAGTTTTCTTTTTCATTTGTTCAGCAGAGGATCCCTAATCACCTGCCTGATTACTTCAAATCCCTGTCTTCCTTTCAGGAAATACAGTGTTTCCTTTGTGGAACCAACTCTTACTGACCCAAGGAGAGTTAATAGAGACACACCAGTTTCCTTCCCAGTATATTGTGGCTTATTTCAACCAATCCTCTTAATTTCATGAATTTCTGTTCTCGTGTAGAGAATGTAACATGTATTTGGAAAACAGTATAGTTGCTTGTTAAAACTACATTAAGAATGAACAGTACAGGGAACTGTAAACATTAAGAAAATGTATTATAGTTGTCTTTTTGAAGAAATATTTCTCACTTTATTTGAAAAACTGGGAGACAGAGTTCTACTGTCCACTGATTGACTCCCTAGATGCCATCAACACCCGGGACTGGGCCAGGCTAAAGCCTAGAGCCTGAACTTCGAGCTGAGTCTCCCACCTACGAGGCAGCCACCCAGCGGCTTGAGCTGTCATCTGTTTCGCAGTGGGAAGCACGTTAGCGGGGAAACTGGATTGGATGCAGAGTCACTGGGACTGAAACCGGACACTTCCATGGGGGGGGGGGTTCAGGTGTTGGGAGCAGCAACTTCATGTCTTTTTGCGGACTCTAGTTTTTAAAAACTGGCTCAAATTCCTTGCGTGTTATTCTATTTATATCAAAGCAGAGGTCTCTTCCCGCAAGTCATTTTGAACTTAAAGCTAACAAAGCCTTCCTGCCCTCCCAGGCGCCCTGGGGAGATGGCTGCAGGAAGACCCTGTCTCCCCATGAATGCTAGCTGCAACTAGTGGAAGACTGATAGAAGGTGACAGTTGCTGTTAATCTGTCATGAAAGTCAGGACCACATGGAGTTAATGTTTAGTATAATATTCCGGGTATTTTTTCCCCAAAGATTTCATCATTTGGATGTGGCTCCTCAGAATGTCAAAGACATCTAGATAATGCACCAATTGTGCAAGGAAGTGGTAATAGCCCGTTTGTGGAAGATGGGAAGCAGTGAGGGTTTGGTCTACATACTGCGTGATGCTAAGTGAGAGTTGGCCTGACTCATCATGCAAAGTGCTGAGCAGCTGAATGTGTGAAAATGTTTCATCCGTATTAACTACTAGTTTTGATGCAATTAAGTAAATAACAATAAATTCACTTAAGGGTGTGTTGTACAGATAAACCTTGGCATTATGCAAAGATTAGCTCCAGGTTGGGCACACCTGAATGTTCTCGACAGGTAAGCTGGAATGGAGCAAGAGAAACTTGTTCACCCACAGGGAAAGTTCATGTTCTGAAGAATTTCCTTTCAGTGTCTCCTGGGAAGTCTGAGTTCCCAGAATGGCTTTGTCATTTCATGATTTTATGAATCGCATTGAACAGCATCATCATGTCTGAAGTTCTGCTTTCAGGTGTTTTGGAGATCAAGAAGAAAATCACAATTTGGATGTGAGAAGAAGGACATGAGGAGACTAAAGACCTGGGATTTTGCTGATCAGAATGAAACCAATGTTGCAAGATTTTTCCAATCTGCTGTTGGTGGTGCTCTGTGACTACGGTGAGTATCCTGAGTGTAGGTTGGCAGTGGGTTTTGGCAGTGAAACCTACAAGGGAAGTTTCCATGCACTGAACTCCAGGACCCTACAGGCAGCTTCAGGGCAGGGTCTGCGGTGCGGGGCATTGACACTGTGGTCTTTGTAAGCCTAATGTGCTTCCCCAGTTTTGTATGTTTCATTCAAATTTCAATTTATTTTTTCTTTTCAAAGATTGACTTATTTTTACTGGGAAGACAGATTTATAAAGAGGAGAGACAGAGAGAAAGATCTGTCTGCTGGTTCACTCCCCAAGTGGCTACAACAGCTGGAGCTAAGCTGATCCAAAGCCAGGAGCCAGGGGCTTCTTCTGGGTCTTGCATGTGGGTGCAGGGTCCCAAGACTTTGATCCATCCTTTCCTGCTTTCGCAGGCCACAGGCAGGGAGCTGGATGGGAAGTGGAGCAATTATGACATGAACCAGTGCCAATATGGGATCCT